TGCCCCCCCCCTCCCCCCCCGGGCAGCACCTGGTGGTAACGGGTGCAGCGGTTCCAGGGTACGTGCAGATGTTATCGAGCACCAGCCCCGAGGACACGACATGGTGAGAGGCTGACTCATCTGTTTCCTGCCCTGGTCATGCGTTTGGGGGTTTCTTTTAAAGCAAACCCACAATTTAAAAGTCACTGTGTTTTATCAATGACCCACAGGACCTTTTCTCACTAACTTGATCTTGACTTCCCCGGCCCCCTAAACGTTCCCAAAGGCTGAGACCCAATCAGCACTGCGCAGGCGGGGCCCGCGGGAGCGGTGGGGGAGGGGGGGCATGAGTGTTCTCAAAAGTAGAGTGAGTCGGGCCAGGAGGGGAGAGGCCCCGGGCTGGAGGTGTGTCTTGCCAGCATTGCATTGCCTCAGGGAACAGTGTTCAGCACCTCGCATGTGCCAGGCAGGGCAGCCCGGGGTCCAAGTGGGGAACAAGACAGGCCCAGGTTCAGGGAGGCGCCATGGTTATGAAGATAAACATCAAGCTGATAAAAAGACTAACGCATACATTCTCATCACCAGTGATCCGTTCCATGAAGAACCTAAATGCCACCCAAGGGCTGGGGCGGGAGGCAGTGTTAAGGGGAGCCTGGGCCCCAGGCACCTTGTACAGCCCGTGAGAGGACACCGAGGCCAACGGCTGTTCCAGCCACCACCCCCCCCCCAGATGGCCCTGAGCCGTCAGCGCCAGGAAGGGCCCTGGCACAGGCCTCCCAGCCCCCGAGCGAGGAGACCCGACGGCAACCCCGGCGCTTCCCCCCAAGAAGGTGATCTGGTCTGAAATGTCAGCCTTTCTCCCCCTCTGTTCACAGCTCCCTGCCCCCCCTTCTCCCAGCAGCACCTTCCCTGGGGCACAGTCAGACCCATCGCTGGGTGGGACGCCGCCGGATTCAGGAGTCACTTCATAAGGCAACAAGGGCTTCACATTCACTCCGTGATGTTAGAGAAGCTGGAGGAATAGCGTGACGAAGTGTCTCCACTGGTTCCGGCCGTCACAGCCACAGCCACAGGCTGAGCGACGTTTATTAACGCGGTTCTGGAGGTGGCAGCGCAGGGTCCAGTGCAGAGGGGTCAGTTTTGGGGGGACTCTTCCTGGTTTGCAGATGGCCCCCCTCTCCCTTTGTCCTCATATGGCCGAGGGAAGGTTAAGAAAGGGGGTGAGGGCCCGGCCGCTGTGGCTCAGTGGTTGAGCGTCGGCCCATACACCAAGAGGTCTCTGGTTCAGTTCCTGGTCAGGGCACATGCCCAGGTTTTCATGCTTGATCCCCAGTAGGGGGTGATGTTTCTCTCTCATTGATGTTTCTATCTCTCTACCCCTCTCCCTTCCTCTCTCTAAAAATCAGTAAGAGAATATTTTAAAAAATAAAAACAAATCTGTTTTTTAAAGAAAGGGGGAAAGAGAGAGGGGGGAAAGGGAGAGAGAGCCTGCAAGAGGGAGACAGCCAGTCTCTCTTCTTATAAAGGCACTAATCCCATCATGGGGCCCCACCCTCATGACCTCATTTAACCCTAATCGTTTCCTAATACCTTCTAATTAGGGGTGAACGGGGATTGATTCCGACGTGAAAGGCTCTGTGCTCACTCTGACTCCCTTGATGGGTGACCCCAGACCCTGGGTGCGGGGATGGGGACCCAGGGAGGAGACACTGAGTCCGCGCAGCCAGCACGCAGTTAGCAGTTAGCATCTCTGCTTGAGGAGCAGCAGGCTGCGTCCCTTCGCTCTGTGAGTGACAGGAGCCAGGCTCCTGTTTGGCACCTGCCATGCAGCCCCAGCCGGAGCCTCCCGGGCGCGGTGCTGGGCCATAGCAGGTGCAGCCTAGCGCGAGGGTCACCGGAGGCTTTTGGTAAGTCAGTCTGTCTGCAGAGGTGAGCTCTGGCGTCGGCCTGGGGCAGACTGGCATAAGATGGGCAAATGCCTGGGTACTGGGTGCCACACCTGGGTACCTCCCCCTGCACGGGAAGGAGGGGTTCATGGAGGTTAAGGCCTCAGAATGGCCCAGAGAGGAC